ATGCATTCCTTGCGACTGGATGTAACGCCGAAAGGATGGCCCATTTGAAGCATTCGTTATCGTTGTTCCGCACGTTCACACAGGCTTTCTTATTTTTAACAGGCTTGGGCAATTCAACGTAAGAACCAACTCTCATAGGATTGTACTTGCTGATATTTACGGTTAAGTTTAATATAACGCGAAGAGACCAGCCTGAGTCTTGCTCTTGAAATTCTTCCGTGCTCTTACTAATTGGTTGTAAAACGTTTTCGACGAACCACTCGTCTATGTCTGTGGTTAGGTATATCGGCGCCATCTTCGTATTGAAATGCTTCACATCGAGCTTTTCATCGCAATTATTCTTTTCGACTGCATACTCGGCATCCAGTACGGCATTAACTTTTAAAGAACTATGTTTCTCCAAGGTCTCCTTAATTTGAGCATGGAATAATGGTTTGGCATGCCTCAAAAACGCATTCAAATCCAGATGTTTCAGATTGGTTATCACACCAGTCTTTATTCTGCCTTTGAACGCACTATTGATGTCGTTCCAGTGAACTGTTGAGTCTTGAGCTGGATTAACAACAGCCGGTGTAGTGGTAGTAGTAGAAGTAGTAGTAGTAGTAGTAGTAGTAGTAGTAGTAGTAGTAGTAGTAGTAGTAGTAGTAGTACTAGCCGGTTCGAGACCTTCACCAACTACATCTAAAATAACGAGAGGTTCGTATATGGATTGTTCGCTATGTTTGCTCACCACAGGTTCGGCAATCGATGAGGTGGCAATGGGGGGCTGTGCCAACAGCCTACTCTTGTATTCGTTTAGCAGATGTAAAACGCTTCTAATCATACACATAGCTGCCTGCAGCTTCTGTTTGCCAGACACGATCAAGCTAGGCGAACGAGAAAGCTCATCGGCTTTGCGCAAAGCCAATGAACCCAGTGTCAACCATCTTTCGATGTCTTCGACACTAGCATCACCTGCATTCGCCAGACGATGTGCGCGCAAGAGCAACAAAGCTGTGTTCTTGAAATACTCAGCCATGATGCTAGTTACTCAACTGAGCAGATTTGACAAATCCATCGCGTTATATTCATTACTCGTCAATGCTGATTGGTTGGAAAAAGTATAGAGGGGGGTGAACGATTGTGATTGATCGAAAAATTATAGTGGGGCATCAACAAGTGCAAGCTCAGTATAAAAAGACATTCATTCGTCTGTATTGACGCAGTCGTCGACGTCGATTCCTCAGTTACTACGATGGATTTTGTTGTAGACGTACAGGGCTTCAAAACTAGCTTAAACGAATTCGTATTCAAGGAGATTGCTGTTTGTCCTCTGGAAGAAGATCCAACTCCATCGGTGCTTCTGTTTAAACCACCTTACCCATGGGAGTGGTTATTAAAGAAAAATCAGTGTGAAAACCGGTGGTTAGCGAGAAATTTTCATGGTATTCCGTGGGAATCTGGCGATTTACCGTACGACGATCTTGGAAAAATAATCAAAAAAACACTTTTTGGAGCAACTATTTTTGTCAAAGGTCTTGAAAAAACAAAATGGCTGAGAAATTTGTTGACCAATGCACAGTAAGTGTCTTTTCGTCGCGTATCATCTTAAAGAGAAAAAAAATGATATCTAATGATTTTTTTTACAGAACGACTGTGGTTAACGTTGAAGATTTGGGTTGTCCATCACTCAAGAATATTTCAAACGATAGCATTTCCGTATGCAGTAACCACAACGCGTATCTATCAAATCCACCGTGTGCCTTTAAAAACGCGCTGGCTATCAGTAGATGGATGCTCGCTCGCAAAAGTCGTGATATGTAATTTGATTTTTTTATATTTAAGTTTGAAAAATAAATTTTAAAAATTAACGTATCGATCAATCCTTGTTTTTACTCACTTATAATATATAAATTTTAGAAACAAAAAAATATAACATTAAAATACAAAAAAAATATTAGATTAAAAGAGAAAAAAAAAGTACACAAACATTTTTTAAAAATAATAGGAACTTTATTAAAACCAAACAAGAACAAATTTACGCAAAATAAGCACGAACGCGTTTGCTAATAGTTTGACGACATATTGGACAATCGTCAATTCTTGATGCACATTCCATGCATACAGTGATATGTCCACAAGGTAAAAAAAGTACAGCGATCCTAGCATCCAAACATATCTTACATCTGGTAATTTCAAGTTGACGCAAAATATTGCCTATATCTCGCTGAGACTTTTCAACCCTTTCGCGAATTTTATTCATTTTTTCATTTTGTTTATCGATACTCTTCTTATAACCGCGTACAAATTCTTCGCAAACAGATACCATACCAACAGTTGCATTTGCTATGGTTTTCGAAGCACATTTCTCCGTCAAATGTAAATCGGAAAAAAGCTTTGTAACAAGACTCTCAATCGATAACGATAACGCAGGCTCGTCTGTACTCGAAGGTAGGCTAGTTGTTGCGCACGCTGTTGCTGCCCGATACTCGAGCTTATACGGTCCACAAACATCTTTACTTTTTCTTCGAGGAGGAGGTACCGGTACGGGGCTCAATCCGATCGGCACATTGCCACAACTTCTGTTACGAATGAAAAGGCAGCCGCCATCCCAGCGCTTATGTTCCGTCATAGGGTCGTCACCTTCTTCCCAACGACAGATTTCCATACCACATTCAAAACAGCGTACTTGATCGATCTGCCCCGTATAATAAAAGCCGGCCGCAGCAAGATCTGCTGGTCGTACGTGTGCGCATGTCCATTGAGACGTGAAGCTATCCAGCCTCGCTTGCTCAAATCTGCACAAATAAAAAAATTTTAAAAAAATATATAAAGTGTATTCTATAAACAATAAAACAAATAATTACCTATAGTCAATCTTGTTGGAGCTCATTGTAGAATGTTCGTATAACCTTTCTTCTTTCACACCTTACACTAGTTTACTCTGGATGCGAATGCAACTGCTGATGAGATGCAGCTCATTTTTATAACGAACGATTGAGATTTCCCCTTCCATCCTCCATTAAAAAATTCCATACATGCCATACGTGCCATACATTCCATTCATTCCATACATGCCATACATTGCATAAAAAAATTCATTTAATTTTTATGAGTTATACATACACGTGCGCACGCGTATGCGTATGTAAAGCATACAACTTGTGGAGAATTGACTCAACGGCCTATGCGAGTGACGTCATTTAAAACTGTCGCATATACGCACTGATTTTTAATAACGATATTTTAATTATTTTTAATTGAGAAGAAATTACCTATCCTTTCTGTTGAATTTAATTGTTGACAATTTACATATAAATAATTAATTGTCTACATCTAATACGCTATAAGAAAAAATTAGTAACATTATTTATCGAATTTTTTCTCGTAATAATCTTTCGGTAATATTAAAACTGTCGCATATACGCACTGATTTTTAGAGACATTTTTTTTGTTGTTGTTATTTTTAATAACGATATTTTAATTATTTTTAATTATTTATCGAATTTTTTTTCTCGTAATAATCTTTCGGTAATAGATATACAGGAGAATCGAACCTAGCCTCCTTTGCATCTATACGACAGTGCTCTACCGTCTGAGTTATTGTCGCTCTTTCTAAAAATAGTGCATACTAACTGTATATTATTTTATGATTTAGGAAAAAAAATTATCGTTTTTTTTTAGTATTATTTTGTACACTGAATTAAACGAACTATTTTTATTGTGTATATTTTTTAACTAATTAAAAAAATACTTACCTTATACTTACCTGCTCGTTTCGCTGAAAATTGGGGGGGGGGGGGGGGGGGGGGGTAAGAATAAAGAAAAACACAAGGTTGAATTTATTCGTAATTTCAAATTGTTATTGTTTTAGTACTTACCTTTGCGACTACGATATATTTGCACATACGTTTGAATAGCACTTAAAAGTGCTGATTTTAAAAAAAAATTATATAAGTTTTTTTTATTAAACAAATAGTTAGTCTATGTTATATTTAACCATACGTTTGAATAGCACTGAAAAGTGCTGATTTATAAAAAAATAATATAAATTTTTTTTTATTGAAAATTTAGCACTGATATATTTGCACATACGTTTGAATAGCACTTAAAAGTGCTGATTTATAGAAAAATAATATAAATTTTTTTTATTGAAAATTTAGCACTGCAAAAAAAAGTGGCCCAGAAAAGGGAAAAAATACTTACCTTATACTTACCTGCTTGTTTCGCTGAAAATGGGAGGGGTGGGGGTAAGAATAAAGAAAAACACAAGGTTGAATTTATTCGTAATTTCAAATTGTTATTGTTTTAGTACTTACCTTTGCGGCTACGATATATTTGCACATACGTTTGAATAGCACTTAAAAGTGCTGATTTTTTAAAAAAATTATATAAGTTTTTTTATTGAACAAATAGTTAGTCTATGTTATATTTAACCATACGTTTGAATAGCACTGAAAAGTGCTGCTTTATAAAAAAATAATATAAATTTTTTTATTGAAAATTTAGCACTGAAAAGTGCTGTTTTAAATTGATCATGATATCGATTAACTGTCGGGATTGTACAGCTTCGTCAACTTGAAAAAAAAAAAAAAAAAAGCGGCCCAGAAAAGGGCCGATCGTTCGTTCGCTGCAACTTGTCACTGCCAACGGCTTGCCACCACCTACTCTTCGTCCGTTGCGTGAGAAATAAAGAGCGTACGCGCTATCGCGATCCTATATTAATACACATTGGCGTCTCTTCTCCGCACTAATCACATTTTCATTAGCTACTCCCACCACTAATTATGATTGTCTTATGCGTGCGACAAAATCAGTGCTGTCGCGTATCTCGCATCCCTACTCCCAAATCTTCGACCAATGACCGAAACGCGGCTAGTGTTTCAAAAGATGAATAAAAATTCGAACGCCTTGCAACGATACGTCATTGTGATTTTTTTGTCGTGGAGTTGTGAAGTGTTTAGTAAAATGAGTGAAGAACGGGTGGAAAATTTGTTTTCCTTGGACGATGCGTCGTGGCAAGACGCACTTAATGAAGCGATCGAGGCGTTGGGCGAGGACATCGATCTTTCCGAAGATGAAGTCTTCGGATTGATCGGTTTACCGGTGCAAGAAGCAGCGGTGGACGAAGTCGTCGTCGAGCAGCCGCGAACACCTTCGCCGAGGAGGAGGAACGACGACGACGACATCCACGAAGCGGCAACCATTCGGATGCCGCTGACACCTCCACCTTCAATATTGTAAGTACATTTTTTTCATTCTTTTTTACCCTCTCTCTCTCATTCTGTTTTTTTATAATTAATACCATTATACTAATAAAATGTTATTAGTTATACATAAATTTTTTAAAAATAATAAGAGCATATATGTTCTTAAATTAAAAAAAGAGGTTCTGTTCTTTTTTATACATAAATTTTTTAAAAATAATAAGAGCATATATGTTCTTAAATTAAAAAAAGAGGTTCTGTTCTTTTTTTTCTGTATACTAATAACACAATTATATATCTAATAATATTGTATTAATAAATTGATAAAATTTTATATAGATAATTTATCAATTTATTAATGTAAAAGTATTATTCGTTATATAATATGTATGTACGTGTGTATATGAGAGAGAGTATATACTCCAATTTTAAATTTAACATTCTTTTCTCTCGCGTACTTAAAATTTCTTATTTTGCGATGTCCGGTTTTCGTCGTCGTAGTCGCGTTATCGGCATAATATAAATATAAGTGTTTCCGATTACAGCACGCATCGGACAGCGCCACTCCAATTACCGCCACCGTCTCCATGCTCCCGATCATCTTCAACGGTGAATGTGTAAGTTGAATATTTATTATACAGATAGATATATGAAATGATTTTTTTTTCAAAATAAAGAATCTTTTTTTTTTTTTTTTTTTTGCAGGTCTGATGACGACGACGACGACGTGGAGATGGTCTGCGAGGTGATTGTCTCGCGTCGACCACCACCACCACCACCATCACGACGCGTGACATGCGTCGACCTGGTGACGCCTCGAGGAGCACCCGTGATGATGATCGACATCACAACACCACAACAGCCGCTCTTGGTGAACTTAGTTTCACCACCAGCGATACAAGAGACGTCCTGCCGCCAACGAGAACAGGTATGATTCTTTTTTTCTCTTTTCTTTTTTTTTTAATCGGCAGTAGTATGTTCTAAGTTTTTTTTCATTTTTTTTGTTGCAGGTCGGCGATCACAACAACACCATGCCAGTATGCGGGGGCTGGGAGTGCGCACACTGCGTCGCTGGTCGCTGCAGTCGGCAGCCGCAGTGGGTGGAATCACCACCGCAGCGCGGCAGCAGGCGGCACGTCGATCGGAACGGGCCGGTCAGACAGATGGTGCGAAGATTATTCGCATCACGGTCGAGCAGTCCCGAAGATTCCCCCGCTGTGCGCCAGCCTTCTCGGTCGCCGTCGCCAGCTCCGTTGAGTAGGCAGCTTTCTAGATCGCCCGCGGAATTATCCACAACGGCGCTCATGCAGAGTCTCCGCATCGCGGGGAAAAAGCGCCTGCGCGTCACGGATGAAACCGTCGACGGCGCCCCGCGGTACAAAATAGCAAAATTTTTCACCGCTGACGACGACGACGCCGACGACGACGACGGCGACGACGGCGACGACGACGGCGACGACGACGACGACGACGACGACGACGACGACGACGACGACGACGACGACGACGACGACGACGACGACGACGACGACGACGACGACGACGACGACGACGACGACGACGACGACGACGACGACGACGACGACGACGACGACGACGACGACGACGACGACGACGACGACGACGACGACGACGACGACGACGACGACGACGACGACGACGACGACGACGACGACGACGACGACGACGACGACGACGACGACGACGACGACGACGACGACGACGACGACGACGACGACGACGACGACGACGACGACGACGACGACGACGACGACGACGACGACGGCGACGACGACGACGACGACGACGACGACGACGACGACGACGACGACGACGACGACGACGACGACGACGACGACGACGACGACGACGACGACGACGACGACGACGACGACGACGACGACGACGACGACGACGACGACGCCGACGACGACGACGACGACGCCGATGATAATGATGATGGCGAAAACTAGGCGTTAGTTTTTTATACATTTTTGTACATTTTTTTGTATTTTTTTGTACATTTTTTGTATTTTTTGTAGATTTTTTATATTTTGTTATATAATAAATAATTATTAATAACAATGTCTTTTCTTATAAATAATTATTAATAATATATCTATATAATAAATATCTATTTATAACATTTATTAAAATTTATTGTATTAGCGCTTGGGCCCTCCCCAGCAGCAGCAGCAGCAGCCGCCGGCGCCGCCGCCCCCCACATATCAATCGCGTGTGTAGCCAGTATACACAATACGGTATTGCCCGTGGTAACAGTGGCTGTAGCTCTAGCGGTAGAGCATCGGCCTGCGGATCCGAAGGACGCGCGTTCGATCCCCCGATCCGTCTGTTTTTTTTCAGATAAATCTAAACATTTTTAACACACACACACACACACACACACAATAAAACAATCAAAACGCGTAACACAGAACACGCGCGTAGTGCATAGGAATCAAATCAGTGGGAGAGGGGGAAATGCAGAGAACGCACGCCACATCAGATCAAGCCACATCAGATCAACTCAGTAGGGGAGGGGGAGTGCGTAGAACGCACCGGTATACGCCACATCAGATCAACTCAGTAGGGGAGGGGGGAGTGCGTAGAACGCATCGGTATAACTCAGTAGGAGGGGGGGGGGGGGTGAATCGACAGTGCACGGGCCGATCGGGAGGGGGGGGGGGGGGGGGTGAGGTGAATATGCACACACCTCAACTCACACGCTTCAACTCAGTGAGCTAGTACCCCTCTGAGTTGATGCCCCTCTAGTTTACCTACTCTAATTAAATCGATATCTACGGGAGATGAGAGATTGTACGATCAATGACAGAAATATGGTTGAGGATACTTTTGCGGGAATGGATAAAGAAGGTGGCGTGACGAGACCGAAAAACACGAGATGGGATTATGTAAAAGATAAGATTGAAAAGATCGCATGAATCTATTAGATTATGGCATAATTTTTAGATGAACAGAGCGGATTGGTTCTGAATAAATGATGATATAGATGGTATTTTATATGATTGTGCTACGATTGAATAGTCGAAAGAAAAAGAACTCATACAACGACCAACGTTACTGTACAAGAAACGCAAAAAGTGATGCTAAGTGATCTCAAGCGATCTGGAGTGAATGTCGTATCGAAGGGTCCAGATCAAAAATGCAACGTGAGTTTTGTTCGAACAAAAGCATTATAGATAGCAATAAGAGAGCTTCGCTGCTTAAAGGCGTGGCATTTTCTGAAGATAAGAGAGAGTTACTTACTACGCGAAAAAGATAGATAAGCTCTTCACGCATACATCCTGGATCTTTTCTTGTCCGATTGTAAGTCCAGTGCATCGGTCGGAGAACCGACAGACTTGAACAATTTTGAATCGTCTGCGTAAAAGAGATCCTAGAGGATTTGATCACATTAACTGCATCATTAATGACAATGATAAAAAACAGCGGACCAGAGCCTTGTGGTACGCCAGATAAGGCCGTATACGTACTCGGACGAGACAAACTGCTGAAGCCTGACTGAGTACTGACGGCTAGATAGATATGGGGAACACCATGAAAGAATGGGACCATAAACATCATAGAACATGAATTAAGATAACAGTAAGGCGTGATTGACGCAGTCAAATATATTGCTGAGATCAGTGTACATTGTATCTACCTGGATTGGGTTGGGTACATCACCAAATGCATCGACCAAGCATTCTATGAATTCAGCAAGATTAGTAGTAATTGAGAGTTAAAAAAACCATGTTGGGAAAAACTGATTGGTCGGATGAGGAAGGATGAAAGTTTAATGGAAACGATGCGATCAAATAATTTAGAAAGCATATTCAATTATTTCATATTATATATTATTATATTCATATTCGCTTTTGGCGATAGTTGAAAATATTGCGTTTATCACCACGTTTTTTGTAAACGGACATAATATAAGCTTGCTTACATAATAAGGTACTAGAACGGAGAGAAAGATTAAAAGTAATGAGCAGCGGCTGTGCTAAATTATTCATGCAATTTATAAAGAATACCGATGGAATGCCATCAAGGCCGACGCCAGACGAAGACTTGATAAGACCAAGACCATTCTTGACCTCCTCAATAGTAAACCACAGTAGCGCCAATGACTGAGAGTCAAACGTACCAGAGAAATCGGTAGAAACAGGAGACGAATTGAAAACAGAAGTGAATCGCGTGGTGAAAAAATTAACCATATCCAGACCGCGGTTTACTGTGACGTCATTAAGGAATATACTATCCGGAAATCCAGAACGGCCACTATCACGATTGGCAAATTTCCAAAATTCTCTAGGATCGGAAGTCAAAGACTCTTCAGTGGCCTTGATGAATATATCAAAATCTCATCGAAAGAGACGCTTGCACTGTATTCTTAAGAACCTAAAGTCCAAGAGTGTCCGTCCACATCCAGATGACTTGAATAAGCAATGAGCCTTCCTCTTCTTAGAAACAGCTACACGCAGCTCCATTGACTTCTATTTGGGCATGTTCGGTGTAGAGGTATTAATGAATGATGTATTGCAAGTAATGGTTTCAGACAACGTACTGTAGAACAGATCGACAGAAGTGTTCTGTAACGGTCCATTCTAATTTGCCTTTTCTCCCACTGCAAAATAACAACCCGCCGTGCACGAGAAAACTAAAGAAAAGCGATAATTGAGCAAAGGCGCTTTTCTCACATACATGTAAATGTGTTAGGGCAATTCGGCGAAAACAAGACCATATAAGGAGAGTGACGTCACGAGCGTGGAAAAATTATTGTTTACAATGCAAAATCGACAATTGCAAAGTTTTTTCTAATGTACAAAAGCATTTTTCAGTCAATTTTTATACGCTGATCTCGAATCTCAAGTTATTATAGTCATTAAATATGTATTTGTTAGTTTAATATAATTTACAAGTAAATATCGCTAGTAATTTTACAACAAATTAATATATATCAAATTCGAATATACAACAGCGATCGTAGCACATTAAGACAGAAAAGCAAGAATTTGACACTTTGATAATTGATTTTTGACTGAGATATCAATAAATAAAAAATTCATAATTTATTTAAGCAATTAAAATTGCGTTGTGAGATAGCGATTCGACTGTATATATCTATAAAATTAATGATAACGATTGTTACCCATTTGTTGATTTTATAATGGCTAAAAGAGGAACTTACAAATTCGTTTTTCAATTATTATTCAAAAATGGATTGTTAAGTTAGTCGTTTTTATTTTGAATACTGTTCCACTTATCACAAGTGATTTTTTTATGTAAAAATTTTCCGTAAATCGTATTGTAAATTCTGTGTTATTTGAATATTCAACTTATACCACTTATAATTTTAAAAGGCGATTTTTCCTAGAGAAACGACTTATATTAAAAAATTTGTTATTCTATACTTGATTTTTTAAATCACTAATTTTCAATTGCCATCAAGCCATTTTGCGGCAAAACCTGTACAAAGTTTATGCTAATATAAAAATAGCATTGTACGGGCTACCAAGCGTAGAAAGGAACCAATTTCGCAAGTATAAATTCGCTCGTTGCTGCGGCAAGAGGATTTCTATTCTACCTTGCTTAGTAGCGCGAGTATTGAACGAAATAAAGACTCAGCTATTTCCTGAGATTGATTTCATTATTCAGTGGTTAGCCTGCTAACTCCTTTTCCTTACGATAATCTAAGCACTCAACTCATAAGACTTTCTCTCTTATCTCCTCTCTGAAATATATAATTGCCTAGAAATTAAATTGAATATTCGTTCCGGCGCTATCGGGCTTCTCCTCGATAGATGCAACAATACTCA